TCGGCGCTACGCTTCCTTCCCGAGGCCGCGGGGCTCCGCTACGGCCGGGCGTCCCGACCGCCGACGGCGACCGCAGGTGGGCACGGCGGGAGGGCGGCGGGACGCAGCCCGGCCCCGCGTCGGGCGCCGCCCCGCGCCCCGCTGCCCGGCGGCACCGCCCTGCGACCCGACGGGACCACCTCGGCCGGCCCGGAGGTGCCCCGCCGCCGGCCCCGCGTCGACGTGCCACCGCCGTGACACGGCCCGTGTGGGGCGCGGTGCCCCGTAGGAACGCGGCCCCGCGCCCTTGCCACTCGAGGCCCCGGGAGCGCCTTTCCCTCCTTCCTCCCGCAGCCACGTGCCCCGCGCCGCGCCGTCACACTCCCAAAATAAAGGCGGTGGTTTTATTTAGTACCCCCGGGGGCGGGCAGGGCTCCGCGTGGCGGCACGGAGCGGCTCCGCGCCTCGCAGCCCTCCCGGGGCTACGCCGTGCCAGGACGGGCCCCGCACCGGGATGGGCCCCCACCCCGTTCCCCCTTGTTGTGCTCGGGGAGGAGGGGGGGGGGCGGAAGGGGGGGCGCCGCGGGCAGGGCCTGGTGGCCGTGTCGGGGACAGAGCACGTGGACGCCCCCAGCGTGGCCCGAGCCCCTGAGCCCCGTCCCGGTGCCCCACACGGCACCATTCCCGATCCAACCCGCGCTTGCGGAGCTGCCACCGTCCCCGCCGACGCTCTTCCGGCCGCCGCGCTCCCGCTCAGAGCACGGCACAGAGCCATGGCCGCCTTTGTGTGCGCACTGCGGAGTCTCCGCTCGAGCCCTTCCCCGCGGGACTCTGCCCGCTCGCCTTCCCGGCGGCCCTCGGGCTCTACCGCACGCACACAACGCTGCGGGGTGGGCTGAGGGCCGGGGGGAGCGCAGCCCCGGAGCGGAGCACAAAGGGTTCTGGGAATGCGGGCTTGGCGAGCGCGGGCGAAAGGGTTAAAGCTGGCGGGCAGGGGGAGGGCTGGCCGGGCCGGGAGGAAGGAAGCAGAGGAGGAGAGGAGCGGGGAGCATCCTGCCCGCAGGGCCGGCAGGGGCCCCTTCCCCGGGGAGCGCGCGGCTCGCCAGGCCCCGGGCCGTGGGGATGGGCTCCGCTTTGTGCTGGTGGCACCGCGGCCGCGCCATCAGCTGCGGAGTCCTGCCGGGGTCCCCTCGCTGGGCACGGTGCCACCTTCTGCCCTACCCACAGCGCCCGAACGTCGGTCCCGGGACACGCGGGGGCACGGGGAGGGGGGGAGCCAGGGCCCCGGAGCCGGTCACTGGGTGCCAGCACGGCGTGGGGGGACGGGACCGCTGCAGAGGGCAGCGCCGAGCGGCGCGGGGCTGCGGCACGGTGCTGGAGGAACGGGCTCGGCGTTCCGCTCGCTGCCCGCGGAGCTGGCAGCCCCGTGCCCAGGGCCAGCGGTGGCTGCGATGCCCCACGCCGGCTTCGTTCCGTTTTTCCCCGCAGATTTGTCCCGGGAGCCGGGCAGGAGCGGGGCAGCGCTCGACCGTTCCGCTGCCGCTCTGCACGGAGCTGCCGCCGCCGGCCGGGAGATGGGGCTCGCGGCCCGCCCTGCCCGCACAGCCCCGCAGCACTGCGGTCCGGGGCTGCCCGCGGCGTGCGGGTGTGCGCGGTGTGCGCCGTGCGGGGGGAGCGCGTTTCTGTGCAGGGGGGCCTCGCGTGCTCCAATGGCGTGAGTACACCGGGATCTGGGCGCGGTACTGCAAGCGTGCATGCGTGTACGTCCACGGGAGGGTGCAAGCGTTGGGCTTTTTGTACGGCGTAGCAGTGCGGCCGTGGGGGTTGCAGGCAGATGTCCGGGAATGCGGATGTCTTGCTTTCCTCAGCCCTGCGCCCGGGAAGCAGCGTGGGATATCATCACGCGTGGAACTCCGTGGTGCTTTTTCCCTGCCCTCCCTTCGTTGCCTGGGGCCGGCAGTGCTCACGGAGCGGTGTGAGCAGAGGGCAGGAGTCCGGCGCCTCGCAGCCCCCAGCCGCACCCAGCAACCAACCGGCCGCGGGGCAGAGGTGTTCTACATCCCACAAAAGTCAGATGCTGCCGGGAGATAAGAACCCAGCGCCTTTGTTTTGTGGAGAAAAGCCAAGAGCACCCTCCCTCCCGATAACAGAGGATCGTTAAGCGGAGGCATCTCCGGCAATGGGCTGGCATCAGGAAGCGGCTCGGTGCCCCCAGCACTCAGCATCACCCCCGGACTCAGGGCTCTCTGTAGGCGGCGGAGCAGGAAAGGTCCCACGTCCCGCGTGAATCAACCTCGGCCCCGCAGCGCGGCACATCCCGGGGCCCGGTGCCAGGGCCCGGAGCTGGGGGAGGGCGTGTGGGAACGGTGCCTCAGGAAACCAGCGGGATTTACTGGGCTACACGCTAAATCCCCCTCACAAAAGGGGCCTGTTCGTGGGGACAGGATGCCGGTGGCTCAGCCACACTTGTTTGGCCAGCAGAGCCTGGCGGATTAAGGACAATTGGTTCAGCCCTGACAGAAAACACCAGGAATGTTCAACAATAAAACCATCCTCCAGTTGGTGTGAGGCTGCAGGACGCCCCGGCGGCCTCCCCTGCCCCATGTCCCATACCCCAGTCCAGCCCCGTGCTTCCCAGCCCCAGGATGGAGGGGATGCTCGGGTGTGCAGGGCAGCAGCAGATCCAGAGCAGTGTATGGGGTACAGAGCTGGGCGCTGCTGGGACCCCAGGAGTGGTGCTGGGGGCACCCATGTGCTGGGTTGCAAGGATGAGACCCTAGCCTGTGAGCTCACAGATCAGGGGACATGACACAGTCCCATCCCCAGGCACAGCCCAGGGATGGCTCTCCTGTGGCTCAGGGGGCCAGGACTGGACAGCCCCCCCCTCTGCCTGGGCAGTTTGCCCTCCGGCATGTGAATGCCCCATTCAGGGCTGTGCTAAATGCATTGGTTCTGGCACATTAGTGGACAGCTGGGATCCTTCCTCAGGGCAGGGAGGCTGTAGAACCCGGGCAGGTTTCACACCTGCTGGTGGTCTGGGAGTCCTGGGGGGAGGTATGTCCAGGGAAGAAGGGGAGCAGGGCCCCGTGGCCAGAAGCTGGGAGAGGGGAAGCAGGGCTGGGCTCCCCCTGAAGTGGGGAGGGGGCCATAGGACAGCTCCAAAAATACTCCAAAAGTGGCTGCACCCCCCTGCCAGCACAGCACAAGTGTATAGGTGAGACCAAGGGGCCTCACTGCACCTGCCCTGTGGTTGGGGCACATTGCTCCCCTGAGCCAGCTCCCATATGTGCTGGGGGCTGCTCCCCTCCACGGGAGCTGCCCCTGCAGCTGGAAAAGGAAACAAGATCCCAGGGCTAACGGCCCGGCAAAACCCAGCCCTCGCTGGAGCGGAGGAGCCGAGGTGAAACCCTAGATCCAGGGAAACAGCTGCAGCCCCCGCCTGCCCACGTTCCCTGCAGAGCTGAGCTGGGTGCAGCAGGGCAAGGTGGGCACCAGGAGCAAGGCCTGCAGTTCCCAAACCCCGCTCCCAGGGGCACCGGGGTTAGGAGAAGGCAGTGCAGAGCCCATAACTCACTTTTATCGGGTGTCCCAGGGCAGGTCTAGGTGGGGAGGGGGGACCCCACTGTGCGGGGCCCGGGGCTCTTTCCCAGCCTGGGAGCCAGCAGCAGTTGGTGGATCGGTTTCAGGGCGATGCTGGTAGCGGAGTTCACGGTGGCTTAGCACAACAGCAGCTAATGGGGAACAGATGCAACAGTGCTTTGTGCTGGAGTGGGGCTGGAGGCACAGGACCCCACTTCCTGCACCTGTGGCACTGCCCCCCCAGCAGCACTGCCTTCCTCCCTCACCCCTGGGAGCAGCCCAGAAACTGCACCAAGATCTATTTAAAAAAAAAAAATAGTAATAATTTATCAGCTCGATATTTCATGTACATAAATATTCATCTCTATGGCTATGTACAGAGGCAGGCAGCGGGGCTCCGCCCAGGAGCCACTTCCACTGAAGCATTGGACAACAGCTGACTCTCCAGGCGATGCCAGGGGGCCCCAGGGTGATGCCCACCCCTGTGAGGCTGCAGACTCGAAGCAGAACCGTTGAGGAGGAGCTCAGTCCCCAACAAGTGGAGGCCCAGAGAAGTGGGGAACAGCCCTGTGTGGATACCTGCTGGCATCGCCTGGCCCTGCTGCCCCTAAGTCCTGCCACTGGGGCAGGCAAAGAGGCAGGGAGCGAGCGGCAATGGGTCGTGGGTGAAGACAGAGTCATCAGAGGAGCAGGTGCTCGTGGTGTCCTCACAGGAGGGCGAGTACTGCTCGAAGGGCATGGAGAGGTCCAGGTACTGAAGAGGACACAGCACTGTCACTGCCTGCCCTGTGCCCCTGCAGGGACCGTCCCCTCCTCCCCTCACCTCCTCCGAGATGGCCGCCAGGATCTTGTCCAGCCCCTCCACCAGCTGCTTGAAGGTGGGCCGCTGCGAGGGGACCGCGTGCCAGCACTCCCGCATCAGCATGTACCTGGGATGAGGGCACGTTATGGGGGTGCTGCCGCCCCCCACTCACCCACCCCCCAGCGCCAGTACTCACAGCTCATGGGTGCAGTTGGATGGGCAGTCCATACGGTGCCCCTCCTTCAGCAGCTTGAAGAGCTCCTCCACGGGGATGCCAGGGTACGGGGAGCCACCCAGAGTGAAGATCTCCCACATCAGGATCCCAAAAGACCACCTGTGATGCACGTGGCACAGGACTTTGTGACTGTCCCAGCCCCTCCCACAGCAGGCAGAGCCCTGTTTCCTCCACCCTGTTGTGCCCTGGGAGCAGGGATGAGAGCTCTGGCCAGTGCCAGAGCAGAGCTTCACCCCATGGAGCACCCCTGCCCTGTAGCTGAGTGCCCTACAGTGCTACCTCACCCTGAACACATGGCAGCCCTTGGGACCCAGTACTCACACGTCACTCTGGTGGGTGTAGACACGGTCGAACAGTGCCTCAGGTGCCATCCACTTGACAGGCAAGCGGCCCTACAGGAGCAAACCTCAGCTCAGCCAGGCTTACGGATTTCCATACATACCCCGCCCTGCACCTAGCCCCACACTCACATTGCTGGTTTTCTTGTAGTAATCAATGTCATGGACATCCCTGGCCAAGCCAAAATCAGCAATTTTCATCACATTTTCTGCTGTGACCAGGACATTGCGCGCAGCCAGGTCGCGGTGGATGCACTGCCAGGGGGAACACATCACTCAGGTGTAAGATGGCAGCTCCCACCCCAGGCCCCCTGGGGCCACTACCCCCAGGAGATGCCCAGGCTTCATGCCCTGCATTGTGGCACCCGCACCGCCATCCCTACCCGCCTGGACTCCAGGTACTCCATGCCGCGGGCCACCTGGTAGACGCAGGACACCAAGTCCTTGAAGCAGAGCTGCTCCTCATGCAGCTCCGTGATGTCAAAGGTGTAATCAGGCGTGGGGGGCCGCCGGGCCCGCAGGTACTCGCGCAGGTTGCCCTTGGCAGCAAACTCCACTATCACATAGAGGGGCCCTGGGGAGGGCACACAACACTCAGCCTTACCCCATCCACCCCAGCAGCCCCCTGCCCCTGAGCCCCTCACCATCCTGCGTGCACACTCCCAGCAGGTTGATGATGTTCTTGTGCTTGTCCATCAGCTTCATCATCTCCATCTCGGAGATGAGGTCAGCCAGGTCCTTGTCGGTGGCATTGTCTGGAGACAGAGGGCTGTGTCACTGCATGGTGGGGTGAAACCAGTGCAGCAGCTGTGCCCAGACACCACAAAATTACCTTTGAGCATTTTGACAGCCACAGTGATGGCTCGGTCCGGCCACTGCCTGTCGATGCCGTATGCCTCCGCCCGCACCACCTGCCCAAAGCAGCCCTCGCCCAGGGGCTTCCCCAGCACCAGCCTGCCAGGGGAGGCAGAGCCATGAGCACACCGAGGGGCTGACCCAATCTGAGCCCATGGGCAATGGCACTGCTGGCCCCAGCCCCCCCCGGCTCCTCACTTTTCTCGGGGAAATTCCCACTTGGAATCGAGGGGCAGGTCCAGCTCGACGACACCCGCCAGCATGGGGGCACAGCTGGAGGAGAGGCGGGTGACTCGCATCAGCGACGTGCTGGACTTCCCTGATGAGCTGGAGTCCAGGGAGAACTGCAGGGACAACACAGCAGCCTTCAGACACCCGGGACTTATGCTGAGACCCGGTGCTGTTGGGAGCAACCAGGTGAGGACAGTCCCACAGACAAGGTGACAGAGACAGGTGGCAGCAGCAGAGCCAGTTGTCAGCAAGGTGCCCCCAGCTCAGCCCTCACCTGTCGGATGAGTGGGAATTTGGAGAGCTTGTGCACTGCCATGGGCTCCAGGGGCTGCTTGCTCGACAGTGTCTGCATGCGGCACAGCACCACAATGATGAGGGCCATGGCCACAGCCAGCGAGCCTGACGTGTAGATGATGATATCGGTGTACTTGGCCTCGGGGGCCTCAGCTTCATGCACCAGCTCTTCTTCTAGAGGGAGAGCACATGTCAGTCTACACCACGGTCCCTGTGCTGCTTCCAACCCTAACCCTAGCCCTAATTCCAGCCCTACCCGGGAGCACAGTGAGCCACGCCGACTGGTAGGAGAGGCCGATGGAGTTCCCTGCCAGGCAGGTGTACTCTCCTGCATCCTCCATGGTGACATTGCGCAGGTACAGCACCTCCACCTCGGAGCTGTTGATATCTGCCGTCTGTGGGCAGAGCAAGGGACCGTGAACATACCCGTGTGTGGACAAGCTCTGTGTGCCCCTGTCACCCCCCAGATGCTACCTTGAGCACTTGCACGTAGGGCACCCCATCAGGGCCGTAGTTGCTGCCATTCACCTCAATGTGCTTCAGCCACTGGATATGGGGCTGGGCGTCGCTGTACACCTTGCAGAAGAACTCCACGTCGCTGCCCACCAGGGCAGTGGTGTTGGCAGGCAGCCCCGCCTGCAGGATGGGCCGGTGCGGAGACCTCTCTGCACACAGAGCATAAAGGCAGCGTCACCACAGTACCCAGAGGTGTCCCAGCCCCACCTCCCTCAGGTGCTGGGACGAGGGCTGGTCAAGTAGAGCAGAGGAGGACAGGCTCCTCCGCCTTCCTTCCCTGCAGCCCATCCCCTCTCCTCCCCAGCACAGTGGCAGGGACCCCTCCTGGCACCACCTGCAGACCCTCACCCAGCACGTCCAGCAGGTAGCTGTAGCGGATGCTGCCGAAGCTGTTCTCCACCAGACAGGTATAGTTGCCACGGTCGGAGGGCACCACACTCTCCATCACCAGGCTCCAGTGCTGGTGCCGGAGCTGCGATGGGGAGTAACAGGTTCAGGAGGTTGCAGCTGAGCCAGACACCAGGAGGGGATGATGACGTGGGGGGCCCTTACCCGTATGCCCCCGATGCGGTGCTCCCCCCGGAACTCACGCCCGTTCTTGAACCAGCGGATGCTGGGACTGGGGCTGCCCGAGGCTGGGCAGCGGAACTTGACCGTGTTCCCCGCAGGGACAGCATACAGCTTCTTGTCCATGCGGTGTGGGTGAGTCCAGTATGGTGCTGGGGAGAAATAGTGGACATGGTGGGATGTGGCTCACAGCCCTGGTTGGGGGGCTGCCCCCAGTTGCTCCCCCCATGGCAGCATTACCTCTGTGCACATAGACGGGCTCCTCGCTGCGATCTCCGTGGGGACCATCCCCATCGCTGTCTTCATCATCATCACCCGATGCCAGCGAGTCTGCAAGGGAAAGTGTGTCACAAGGGATGCCCCTGTCTGCAGGATGGGGAAATCGGGCTGCGCTCCTCTCAGCACTGCTCTGGGCCCTCACCCCCTACAGAGATGGTGAGGTTGCGCAGGACTTCCCCGGAGCCCCGCGCCCGACACACGTAGAGCCCCGAGTCCTCGTAGGCAACCTCGGTGATCTCCAATACGCTCTGCTGGAGGCGGACGCGGGGCCCCGGGAGCAGTGGCCGCGACTCCTTGTACCAGACCACGCTGGACCCGCTCTGGTTAGCATCGCAATACAGCTTCAGTGCATTGCCCGGGTCCAACAGGAGGTGTTCCTCCTCCGACTCCAGCAGCGGGCTCTCAAACAGCTCTGCAGCCCGGGAGAGATGCTCTGAGCACTGCGCACAGCGCGCCCCGACAGCAGGGTCCCACCATGCTTCTTCCCGGTGTGCACAGCACACACACAACGGCACAGTGCCTGGCCGCCCCGTCCGGCCAAAGACGTGAGCAAGGGCTGGACTCTGCCCCCGGGCACTGGAACAAGGCTTCCCCCGCGGCCGCCTGGCACTGCCGTATTCCCGACCAAGGCCACCCATGCCACAGCCCTTACAGAGGGGTCCGTGGAACAGGGTGTCCGCGCCCATCCTGCCGCACTAGGATAGGAAAGGACTGGAAGCGCTCGGCATCACCCCCCCCCCTCCTCCCCCATGCACAACCCCCCCTCCCCACGGGCCTGGCCCACGCTGGAAAAGCAGCTCCAAAGCAAATATTCTGTTCCGTTCCAACCCAGAGCCGCTCAGAGTAAAACCACCGCCGGGACAAACCAAAGCAGCGGCGGTTCAGCGACCGTACAGCTGAGCCGGGACCTGCAGCTCCTGCTCCGTCCCCGTGCCCCACGCCCTGCCGCCGCGCCCCGAGCCCCGCAGCTGTCAGCACCGCGTGCGCACCACCGCACCGCCACGGCTCAACCGCACCGCATCGGCACTGCCCGCCGCACCGTGCCCAGCCCGCCGCCGGGCTGCCGACGCGCGAAGGCTGCGAGAAGCGGGGACGGGAAAAACCAGCAACGGAGCCGCCCTCAGCCACCCCCGTCCCACCCGTACCTGGCTCCACATCCCCGCGGTGGGAAGAGGCCGGGCCGGCCGCCAGAAGCAGTCCCACCAGGACGAGCCAGAGCGGCAGCATCTTCCGGGCCTCCCGCGGGAAGCTGCACCGCGGCGAGGAGCTGAGCTGCCCCGCGGCCGTCGGGCAGAGCCGACTGCGCGGAGCCCCGACGGCGCGGCTCCTCCAGCCCCGCACCGGCCGCGGCGGGGAGGGCCCGGGCAAAGTCCTGCGGGGCCGGGCGGGCTCCGCTCAGCGCCGCGGCCCCATGGCGGCCCCGACTCTCACCCCACCGCGCTGTGCCGAGGGCGCGGGCACTTTGTAGGGCGGCGCTCGGGTTACGCGGCGCCGCGGGCGGCCTCGCCGGGGGCGGCCCCGGCCCCGCCCGCTACCCGCTGCCCACCCCCCGTCCCCCGCCCCCGGGCCCCGGCCGTGCCGCGGCGCCGCCCACAGCCCGCAGCCCCCGCCGCGCGTTGCCGGGCGCCGTTCCCGTGGCGGGGCGCGCGGGCTAATTGCCGCCGCTGCAATTAGCGCGGCGTTATCGCTGCCGGGGCCATCAAGTGGCCGTGACCCCCATTAGGAGCCCATAAGGCCGCGTCGTAAAACACCGCGGGGCTGCGAGGCGGGGCCGGCCCGGCCCTAATCCGCGCCATAAACACCTCTCCCCGGGGGGACCCCCGGCACCGGGAGCAGTCCCGGCCGCTTCTCGTTTCTCCGGTCCGTGCGGGAACGGAGCCGGGAGCTGAGCCCCGGAGCTCCTCCCGGAGCCGCTTTGCGACGGAGCTGCGGTGCTGCGCCGTTCGGGGCTGTCGCTGTCACCCCCATCCCGCAGCGTCGTGACTTCGGGGCGCAGCAGTGCCACGTCCCAGCACGGCAGCTCTTCTCCTGCGCTCCCGCTCCCCTCCTGGAGCCCCCACGGCCGCAGCCCCCAGCAGCTGTTCTGCACAGTGCATTCCTGCCGACGCGTGAAGCGGACGAGAACATCAATTTCACGGAGCAGCAGTCGCCTCCGCAGAGCTTTGCAAAGTGCCGGAAGCACAGAAAAATGTTGGGTTCGGCTCGATTTGAATCAAACCAAACCAAAAGCGAGGGGCACAGAGATGCCCAGCGAGGCAGAGGCAGCAGCCGGGCCCCGGGTGGTGGGAACAGCAGATCCCCTGTGGCTGTCTGGGGAGGGATGCACGAAGCCCTGCAAGAGTGCTGGGAGCCTGGGATGGGCATCGAGACCCCCCATATTCCTGCCTGGTTCCTGCAGTGGGGATGGAGCCAGGTGGGCACATGGCTCGTCCCGTGCCATGATGGGACAGTGGGGTGCAGGCTGCAGGGAGCTGCTCCCCTCCCAGCTGAGGGGCTGGGGGGCTTGGGCTGCCTTGCTTGATTTATAGCAGCAACTGAAGGCAAACAAAAAGCCCTTCACGGCAGCACAGCCCACCGCCTGCTGCCCGCCTCCGGCAGCACCGCCGTAGTACCGTCACGCCAGCAGCTCAACAAGGGGTGATTGTGCCAGTGCCGGATCCCTGTGCCACAGCACGGCCCTGCCCTGGAACCTTGCTTTGCCACGGCACCACGAGGAGCACGCATTCCCATGGCCACTGAGCTGCCCAGGGTGGGGGTGCTCAGAAGTGGGCATGAGGTGGATGGGGCAGCGGGAGCTGCTCTGCCCAAGGAGGGGTGATCCCCAATGTTTGCCTGTGCCCAGCCAGACCCACAGCCCCGCTCGTGTGCAGGGCCCCGCAGCAGCAGCACGCACGAGGGGCTGGGCGCAGGGGCTCCATCCTCCCACTCCTGCCCCTTCCCCCAGGCAGTAAATCATCCCCACTCCCGTCATGAAAGGCCCATGTATGCGCTGCCGGCGCAGGGAGCCTGCCTGGTGCCAACAATATTGCTCTTGGAAGGCAGCCGGGGCTGCGGGAACACAGCCGCCCCTTGTGCCTGGCCCCAGCGCTCGCCGCCGGTCCTGCTGCGGTCACACCTGCGGCCAGCGTGCACGGCCAGCAGCTCTTGGGGGGGCTGGAGCCCAGGGGGCTCTTTCCTCCTGGAAGTTTCTCTTGGCATCTCCTGAACGGCTGTTGTTTGGGATGCAGGTCCCCGGCTCTCAGCACCCTGAATGCATGGCGTCAGGATGCTGAGGCCGAGCGAGTGGGGCCACAAGAACCATGTGAGAGTACCCACCAGCTTTCTGCAACCCCACTGCCCTCAGCACTTGGCATCACTGCCCCAGCCAAGCCTGCAGCCTGCTGGTCAGCCGCACCGGTGCCTGCTCCAGCCTTGTGGGTGCATGGCTGCTGGGCATGGAGAAGCTGGCCGTGGGACACAGGTCCCAGCCCTACAGCTCGTCCTGCAGAGTGGGCTCAGGGCAGGAGCTCAATCCCTGCTGCCTGGGGAGCCGAGTGCTGCACTCTTGCTGATCCTTATCTCTCACAGGGAGGGACTGATGGAGCAACCCAGCCGGGTTAAGGTTTAACCAGGCACCACTTGGCAAACACGAACCTGTTGTTCCCTCTGGGAGGTGAAAACACAGGCCTGGCACAGGGGCTGCGGAGTGAGGGATGTGAGCCTCAACCAAGCCCTCATCAGCAGGCACTGTGCTCCTTCCAAGGCAAGCAGGGAGCATCCTGCAGCACAGCATGAGCTGCATCCTACAGCCTCTCTGGAGACAGCCATACCATGCTCAGGAACAGTCTGTATAGGTGCTGCCACCCAGGATGTTGCACACCCCACGTGCTGAGCAAGCCATGCTGCAGGACTCAAAGGCAGGATACCCTGGGAGCAGCAGCATGCTGCAGGGCAGGAGCTGGGCCACCCCTGTGTTCCCAAACCCTAATGGCAAGCAGGCACCCAGCCTTACATCTGCACCCGATTTACTTGCTGGAGACAGGAGGACCACGAGGGAGGGCAGTGGTTAGGGCTGCAGATGGGGCTGCGCTCCTCCCCAGCTGAGCGGGTCCCAGTGCCGTGCCGGGGCTCAGCTGGGCGGGCTCTGCAGAGCCGGCTATGAAAGAGCAGGGGATGGCGGCACCTCCACGGGGATGTGGCCGTGGTGGCTCCACGCCCTGTGCTTTCTGCCAGCACGGAAGGCGCTGGGGCTTGGCCACGGCAGCTGCAGCCCCGGCACAGCCAGGTGCTGCCCGCAGGGGCCCGGGCAGGGGCAGGCAGCAGTGCTGTGGGACAAAAGGGCCACAGTGTGCTCTGCCTTCCCCAGCACACCGCCCCATTGCCAGGCTGCAGCTCCTGTGGCACCATGCTGCGGGGTGCCCGTGGGTGCTGCAGTGTGGTACCAGGATAGGAGGTGAGGGCCAGCTGGACCTGGCAACAGGACATAGCCTGGGCAAGGCACAGCCTGCAGCTGGGCACTGGGGGGGCACCCATCTAGGCCATGCTGGGAGCACATCCTGCCCCAGTGAGGCGTGGTGCAGACAGAGGAGTGGCTGCACACCATCACTCTGCTCCCCAGCTGCCAGAGAACAGCCAAGTGCCCCGTGGCTGTGACGGATGTTTTCAGCACAAGCAGCACAACAGTCTGCAGAAGTGCCAGCACTGTGTGTGTGCAGACTGTCCTGCCTTCCCCTCGGTGACGTTGGTATGCCCCAGGCCATGCAGACGTGCCAGTGGAGCACAGAGGAAGGCACTTGGTGGCTCTGTCTGGATCTCAGGGTGCCTGGGGATAGCAGATGGGAACACAAGCTTCCCACCCCTCCTAAACAAGTCAGAGATGTCTGTATCCTCTTTTTTGCTTTGAAGGATGGCAAAAACCCAGGAAGGGCTAGAGTAAAGAGGCAGCACCCAGAAGTAGTAATAAACACTCTATTTGGAGAGCTTCACCTTAGGGAAACAGCAGATACATAAACATCATGTACAGAGGAAGGCAAAATTGTCAGTACACAGAATGGAGTGACACACTGGACTGGGCAGTGCTGGAAATGGATACCTCTTGGTGTCAATGCACAGCACATCTAGCAGGCACCTGCCCTCGTGCAGCGAGACGAGAGCTAAGCAGTGGAGATCGGAGCTGGAGGCCATCCAGTGCCACCAGACACACAATGCTTCCTTTACTTCACTTCAGCAATTTTCTGCTGGTTGATCAGCTTGCTTGGTTTAACAAAACTCCCTCTCAAGCAGGAGGCTAAGGTTAGCCCTCAGCATTAGAGCAAGACTGGAAAACATCAGGAAGGCAAATCCAGCCCAGCAGGAACCTGTCCTAAGGGGAGATGGCAGATCCTGTGCAGGGTGAAGGCAAACAAAGCTCGTGCACAGCCTTGAGCGGGGAGGGAAGGCATTCACTCCAAGTGCAGAGATTAGCAACCAACTCTCTCTCCTTGCTTAACCTGACCAGCACACGCAGGGTTTTGGAAGTGCCCCCCCAGCCTGGCTCTCAGCCCTGCAAAGGCGGCAGCTGCTCAGCCTGGAACGCAGCACCGGGGGCGCAGGGCCCCACAGTGCCCTCCAGCAGCTGCTGCAGCAGTGGGAGGCAGCGGCTCTGCTCGGCATGTCCATCACCTCTGCTCCTGCAGCCACGCAGGTCTCTGTCCTCCTGCCCCGGGGAAGGAAAACAATGGCACTTGCCCCAGGCCGGCCAACTCTCAGCTCCACAGAGGCACTGAGGCTGGGACAAAGCCATAGTGCCCAACACAGAGCACTGGCACAGAGCACAAGGCCAGCCTGACAACAGGGTTCCTGCGGTGTGCCAGCAAAGAATGGCACTGCCCTAGCTCAAGGACAGAACATCTGAAGAACTCATCCTAAATGCACAACAGCCTCAGATGCCCGCCCTTCCTTCTGGGGGCTCCTCTAACAGATCCAGTACATTAACAACACAAAGAGACCATCTATCTTAACTTCCAGGTTTGAAAGACAGAACATCTCTTCTCCATGATGGTACAAATGTGTAAGAACTTTGAGGAGAGGGATTGGGCGAGTAGTGTCTAATGAAGGGCTAAGTCAGGTTTCCAAAGAACTTGTAGGTTTTTAGCCAGCAAACAATTCAACCAAGCTATACTACAGTATTCTGTCATTTCTATACTTATCTCCTCTTTTTTTGTTGTTTTTCCTTTTAAATTCTCCTTCTCTATCAATATTTTGCTGGCAGTAGGGAAAACACTGCACTTATGCAAAGACCCTCACAAAACCTGAGATGGACTCTTCCTGCTCAACTTCCTCTGCTGATTGCATTTGGGTCTCGGAGATTTCCACCACTGCCAAGTTTGGCTGAGATTGCTTTAAGTTATGAGGGGTAAAGACACACACAGTGAATGATCA